CCGACTTTGTTCCTTTGTTAACCATTTTTATTCAGTTCTCCCATATAGATTCAGATAGTCAGAGACCTTACCTTCAATATAGATGAATCCTTATCCATAGATCAGTGATACTAGCTCATACACGTATTCAGCTGGCCGACATACTAATATAATTATCTGGTAAATCTGGCTGATTACGGTACCAATTCTCAAGATGTAGAGCACCCACGAATAGAATTATTAATGATATAACCTGTTGGAAATCATGATGCCTGAGGCACCTTCGGATATCCTGGTCCCGCAGCGATCTGATATATCACATTCAGGGGCTAAGGGACACGCAGACATAAGGAAGCGTTTGTCTACGCTCTCTCTCCTAGGTAGAAGAATATACTCACCAAGCGATACTAGATCGCACGATAGTTTTTAATATACTATCTAGTCACCGCTATCCTAGCACCTCACGACATAGCTTTTCCCCCCAGATTCTCAACCTGCGATGCATTCGCCAGCTGTTGCTGCAGTATTTCCTCTATCTTTCCGGGTTCCAATATTCTTCGCTCTATGCTTGCTCTTTGTCACGAGTCTCTGAGGTTTTCCTTGTCCAAGTTTGAAGCCGGTCTCATCGAAGTTATAGATATTCTATGGTCCGACTTTGTAGACCTGGAGCACCTCCTTAAGTTTATAATACCACTTAGTTGTTTTAAACTTATGATTAGTAACCGCTCGGCAACACTTCCAAACCGGGCGGATTGTAGTGTTTCCGTAACAGTCATCGTCATACAACAAATGAATTCATTCCCACTAACTAGGTAGCGCTTCAACGAGAATATTGAACATGAAGAGAGGAAGAAGGGATGAATCTGAATGACAACATCAATTGCGGGGAAACCAGAAGATCATATGACCCAAGGTGACTGTTTCGCGAGTGACTATACCTAATTGGGAAGTGCTTAGTGATACAGATTTGACTAGTTATTAATCGTGACAGGCGAGGAGAAAAGAAACACGAGGGCTGAGGGGCCCGAGTAGGCTGAGGAGCTCTATCCCCTTACAAAAAGCCTTGGTTTTGAATCTCAAGAAGTTGCTCTTTTTGTCGATTTAATTGATAGAGATTATAAGGTGTTTTCCCTGTTACGGAAACACTATAATCCGCCCGACTTGGCGGTGCGGAGTATCTGACGATCGATTCAACCCCTGAATCCTTTAGATAGTCGAACACCTTGTTGTGGAACTACAGTAGGTCAGAGGAATTGGCATTGAATAGAGTGAACTAAGCCATTGAATTGGATGAGCGGACTTAGTTGGTATACAGGAATTTCGTCTGTGGGAAGACATATATAAGCGAGGACTTCGCCGATCGTTCGGGGAATCCTTCGGGCCGATCCCATATTCATAACACACCTCAATGAGAAAATAGGGAACCGCTTAGTAGGCTCAGTTGGTGGAGATACTGCGATTTCTGGTGTTTCCACTGAATGACATCTACTTCCTAGTTAGGCTAGTTGGCCTGTAGCTGATAGAATAGCTCCCTGCGCATCACTTCCCCTGAATTCCATCAGAATATTGTGATCAAAATTCCACTAACACCCATGTTAGATCCCCTGATTGACCGCCTGCCGGGCCTCTGCTTTGAGCTCCCCCTTGAGCCTGTCCCTGAGGCATTGCTTGAGGTATTATTTGCCTTGATGCTTAGTTTAATACCTTATTTGATGGTCTGAAGTGATACCTCATTTGATGCTTCAAGCAACCGAGTTATTGCATGCCCCTCCATTGTTTCACCACCTGCCTGCTTAGCCACCGCTGCCTTTGCTGCCTCGCCCTCTCGAATAGTTTGGCCATACTGAGCTATATGGACAGCGCGGTCAACTTGCTCCCAATATGATAGCTCTCGCCCTGGGCATTCCCGTTTTTGACCACCGCGAGGCCGGACAATCGAGGGTTCTTGTAAACATGAAAGCTCAGAGGAAGAACATGCGTCATTTCATTGATTGAGGTCGAACGCTCGAAGTATGGACGAGTGAACTAGGGCGAGTGCCCAGAACCACCTATGCAGTTCCGACCTGTATTGAGTGTGCAATAATTCTAGCACTAAAAGACGGGTGTCCAATGGTTCAATTTGACGGCCTGAAATCCACAATTGACAGTGAAAGTGCTCCATGTGAAGCGTGTGACGGGTGCACATGGTCTGTTTACATTGTTTATATCTAGTTTTATTTACAGTACATCTCCGCACCGCCCCCTCACGACCTTTCTTCCTCCTCCCTACGCATGAAATTTTCGTTGAGATAGCACCAATTTCATCAAATGGTGCCTGGCCGTCGCAAAGCGGCCTGGAGTTCTTAAATACCACTGTATTGTGTGAATACATGGGATTCCCAGTGTTTTGTTGATAACTCCAGTACAAGAATTAATTGGCAACTTTCCAGGCCCTGGCGGGAGATATTTCTTGTAGACTTGGTGAACTTTTAGGACTGCATAGTGGGAAATTCTGCAACTCAAGTCCCTATATAATAATCCATTTAGTGACGTATGCCATTTTACCTTATCCTAATTAACCTGCTGCGTAATCTCTGCATCCAGAAATGTAGCTGTACGTCCCATAGATTGTGCCTCAGTTAAAAGATCTCCAAAAGCACTATCCAGGTCGCTTTTAATAATACCAAGAGCACCTTCATTCCGAGATGTAAATGTAGTCCCACCATGGAAGTAGCAATTACTATAGAAACTTAAACAACGCTTTGCAATAATAGGCTGAAGCCATTTATACTCCAAATATTGTATTAGCTCTGGAAATTTGGTGTACTGTATTTTTTTTTTTTTTAATAGTTCCCATTTTTGATCCTTTCTTTCCACAGTCCCTGAGTTGATAGCCTCCATCCAATTATCCTCAATTTCTCTGGTAATTGTGCCAATTTCTTCGCTTCTCTCCTTTGGATCCATTTTCACAATAATCCGTAAGATTAGAGGCTTAGTGTGATGATCCTATACACCTTGGTTAAATAGATAGATTCTATCTAAGATGGCGATCTAACGAAACATCAAACGTAGAGAAGGAAGGAAGGAAGAAAGAATTCTATCGTACAGGAAATGTGGAAAATCTCTACATTGTGGGTTCAACAGTGAATAAAGCAGACTTAGTGCCTCAGGCAGGGTTCGACCTAGGTCCTGACACTTGGCTTTTGCAATAATGCTCTTTTTTTCATATGCCAGATACAAAGAATAGGAGCTGATTGTAAAGGGCTGGAGCCCATTTGACCTCTCGGGCCAATGTCCCTATTATCCCTGCTGTCCCAATTGTCCCTACTGTCTGTACTATCCCTGTTGGCCTTGTTGGCACCTTTGGCCCATCGACCCTCGATCCATGTCACGTGACTTTCCACATTGTTTGTTTACCGCTCATTTTCCTCTTCCTTTCTTCCCTTCAACGATTCCTTCTTGTACATAACCTATCTTATAGGTTCTATGGGTTCAGCCCTTGACACTGATTCAGGGAATATTTAAAAAGGGCCTTTTCTTTATCTGTCACAATCACAGAAAGAAGTGGAAGCAGAACTCGATAGCAGGACTGTTAACAGGATAAAATAAAAAATATGTCTCTTCTTTTTCATACAGTAGAAAACCAAAGGTAACATAAAAAGTCTGCCCAGTTTAAGCTATACCAACAATGTCAAGAAGCGGCATTCTAAACCGATTTGATTTACATGTGCAATCCATACATAAAATATAGGAATTCAATTGTGAGCGCTCCAGGCAGGCTTTGTGTGTTAAACATACTGCAGTTTTCCGGCCATTTTCAGTGTCATATTGCATTATCCAGGGGCCTTCATCTGGAAGAAGTGTAATAAGTGCTTGAATTGGACATCTTCCCTTAAGAACTGGGAATATACTGTTTGCCGTGGGTTATATACATCAGACGTTGAAGAAGACTTTTCTCATTCTCTTGGATAAGTATTCGAAGGATTTCCTTCGTTGATATCCCCTGATTAATTAACGGTATAATTTGATTCTTTTTCTGGGCCATCTCATTCCTTCTGTATATTGGATGGGTGCTGGGAGGAGAGGCTTCATAATTGTGGCATCCATTTCGTACTGTAAGTGTCCATTTTGTTGTTTGCTTTGAATAGCTAATTAGGATAATAAAAAGACAGCTAATCCGTCGAGATTTAGCTTGTCTGGCACCATTGGATCGAGATAAACGCTTTCTACCTCTGTCACAGCAAAGATAGAGCGCTTTATCTTTATTTCTTCGCTTAATAACAACTGCATATCCATGTTGTATCCCATGGGATTTAGCAGCAATTTGTGCCTTATAATCAGTATTATATTGTACACCAGATTCAGGAAAGGAATAGACTCAGAAGAGTTAATTCAATGGGGTCTTTGTCAAGCAAATAGTCCGTTTTAATGCGGCTGTTGTTGGGATTATCCCTGGATTTAACCTGTATTTAGCAACGCCCCCGAAAACTATAGGTCTCTACCAGTGATAAGGTCGTCACATATACAGGGCCTACTAGATACACAATTATCTAGTCATAGAAACATACTTATGGCTAGAATGACTACGGAAAAGAAAAGTAGGTGTTATTTAATGTTCACAGATCTTGGTGCGCTAGTTTTCCTTGCTTGCTCCACTGCAGTTCCATACTAACTACTTCTTTCCTAGGTCTACAGATCTGGCTCACATTTCATGTCCCACGTCCGTCCAATTTGAGCAGGGCAGCATTATATGTCGGTGCCCCGGTGTCTGTAAGTATTTGGAGCAAAAACAATGTACTGTACATGGAGCTAATTCTTGCATAATATACCAGGTGCCTCGCTCACCAGAAACGTATCAAAATACTAGTGATTGTGTTGCACACTCATACAGGTCGGAACTGCATAAGTGGTTCTCAGCGGCCACCCTCCATACCTCGAACGTTTGATTGACCTCTTCCACATCTTCAACTTCACACTACAGTACTCAATGGAATACCATGTTCTTCCTCTGAGCTTTCGTATTTTACATGCAGCACATACCCTCAAGCCATTCGGCACTGACCATTCCCAGAGGAAAAGCACCTACACCAAATGGAGTCACTTGGGCTGATCTGCTGCGTGCAAAAAGCATCGCCAATGCTTAGGTTTTTAAGGTCTGGGATTTTGATTGGGCTACTGTACCTCTCCCATAGCGCAGGATACCCATTCTGTATCGTGTGTTCTGGCTGCTCAGGTTGGGAATATGCTGGCAGAATATAGTCGACGTTGCTGAAGACAGAGTTTGCCAGAACTGATGGCGTGGCTTTGTTTTTGGTTGGTCGAAGACCAGTGTCTTCGGTTCCTGGGTGAGTTGTGGGCCTACAAGTCTCAGCATGCGGCCATTCAACCCTAGCAACCCCGTCTTTTCCAACTTGAAGTGTGGGTAAGTGTTTTGAGAGGGGGATTAATTGGATTTGATCTTCCAGAGGTACTGAGGAACCTGGGTACTCCGTTAGTGTGTATCAACATTTTGGTTATCGTGATCTTCTTACTCTGGCCATGAGGAAGAGACGTGGCAAAGTCATAATGTGGAAATTTGTTCATCACGAAGTCGTGAAAATCATTGTAGCAGAATGCCAGTGATGAGGGAGGGAAGGCATTGGAACAGTTCTGCACGAGGCCTGTAGAGGAAGAGTTGTCCCAGTCTTGTGTCCACTTGTTATTGGATGTGCTGAACGGTTGCAAGAGAGCACTATCAGAACGACGAGTGTCGCTTTCTCTCCAAGAGCTGAGCAAATCGTCCAATAGTTCGGTTTGGCTTAGGTAAGGCGTGATACTCCCAGTGTCTGGGTGGCCGGTGGGTACCACGTCAAAACACTGGTTGCCGACGTTTGTCATCGCTGCATGTGATTGTCTTTATTTTTCTGAGAGCCGATTGGAAGGAAACGTTGGGATTTTAGAATTCAAATATAAGTTAAGGCTGAGGAAGGGAATTTCGACATTGGCTTGCTTATCTAAATATAATGCTCGAATAGGTGCAACGGCAAAAGAAAACAGGACAGTGGTGAAGGAAAATAATTTAATTATGAGTTTATCAAATTCCCAGCCTCATCAATTATATCAGCTCACACCACCTACGACAACAACCCCCAGACCCTTGGATCCACATCTTTTATTATTCCTACAATAGCCTCCTGCTGCTAATAATAGTCTGAAGAAACGGAATCCAACCTGCCATACAATCAGGTTTCTCTACGTATTTGCGCCATAGCCCATGGATCTTATTGTCAAACTTAGTCTGTCAATTCGGGGAAATGGAGCCGGAAATTGATCTGACCATTAACAAATTTTCTGGATTAGATGCGGGAAAGACTTACCTCGGTGGATTAGAATAAGTGATTGGTTCCTAATATTTGCTGACGTGAGAGAGTAATAAAATTATGTTGGTATCTTTTTAGAGTGTCACCTACGACATAATGGGATGCTATAATACGCCCTCCTTACTCTCATCCCTTAGTTAATTTTTTATTTCTTCATCGTAAAGCAAGCTTGTTTCATGTTAATAGAGTTCACGCAGAGAACAATATCCCGCCTTGAAGGGACGACATACAATCTAGTCAATACATTCTACCTGAAATTTAGATTGCTTTCCACTGTCCAAGATCGTTGAGATAGGGCATAGGTAAAAGAAGCATCGTCCATTACCCTAGTTTGTCCGTCCCCAGTATTTTCGCCGACTAGGGATGACAGCCAATATGCCACCAATATTCTCACGTCCACCAGCAAGGATAGAGTCGCTGCCCGTGGAGATCATCCAGATGATTTATCTACGTGCGTTGGAACCCAACCTTGCCCGCGCATCCATTCTAATTGCCAACGCCGTATCCAACACAATGTTTTATGATATCTTTCTGAAACATGCCTTCTGGTATGACCCTCATGGGATATTTAACGCTGGGCCTCAGCACTATTCAGCAAAAGAGGGCCATACGACTGTAGGTGGGCGATCCCATTCCTGCAATTTGCCGGCTTGGTACCAACGGCTCACGATCAATGAACAACATCGACTCCAAGCCCAAGTAGCTAACTGTCGTTGGTTTACTCTGCTCCGATTCCAGGAAACCATCCAGAGTTTGTTTGAGTGGACCTACGGGTCCGTTTCATGTCACACAATTCATCTGGGTATGGAATCTCTACCAAACCCAGCAGCCGTACAACTTTGGCGAGAGGCATTTTGGTACATGCCTTCCCTCTCACAGCAGGGCCAAACTGATGCAATGTTAGGCCACGAGAAATTGCTTCGGATACCTCTACTACGACTCTTTATGATCCCAAATAAGCTCTTTCGCGGTCCGTGGGATAAAAAGCAGACTGACTTGCTGGAAACTCTCTATTCGGAGCTTCTCAGTCTGCTGGGGTGGAGCCGCACGAGGAGTGTTGCCGAGCAATCGCAGCTACCCCGGCCAACTTTGGACAAAAACGAATGCTTCCGAGGCATGGAAAAAGCCATTACTGAGCATCAGGAGACTACCCTTCTCCACTTTCTCCGGTTTCTCGAACTCCTAGGATCTACCAAAGATTCCGCCGGCAGAATCTGCCACCCTATACTGCCGGAGCATCTCTATCGCAGCGCCACCCTGCACCATCCAGCCGATTCCACCTTCCTGTGGCGACTCATTGAAGCCAGTCCAACCTCCCTGCCAGACATACCAGAGATCCACGGCTGGGCCGCCGCGGCCCGCGATCGTGGTGACCCTTTAGGGCTAAGTGTATTGGAAATTCTGGAGTTAAATCGATTGCGAAATGAGACCAACTCAAACTTCTGCCGACGTGCCCTGGGTCGTATACTGACAAAGCTGGTGCATATTCTTGGAAGTCTAGGCGTAAACCATCGGCGTCAAAGCCGTTCGTGAAGTGTCTCTCCTACGTGGCGTGAAAGCCACTGACATAGTACTGGATAGTCTACAGTGTGCAGTTCAGGCCACATATCGCCGCATACAGTGTTCATTTCTATCATATGCTATAGAATGGTCAGAGGTCAAAATTATACGCCTACAAGTCGATATCCATTAGATACTCCTAGCCCTGAGTGTAGAGTGAGCTAAATGAGGAACATTGGATAGATTAACTAATGGAGAATTATTGTATCCACTGTCCCCAACGTTTATGTACCCCCCACAATAGTAGAGGGGTGCCTGACGACCTTTTCATGTGGTCTGCTGGTTTCCCATTCAGATCCATCGCTTCTTCCTCTCCTCTTCATGCTCAATATTCTCGTTGAAGAGCTACCTAGTTCGTGGGAATAGATTCATTTGTTATATAAAGATATCCTGTCCTATATTGGGCTGTGACAGAGTGTTGTAGACAATTGCAGCTTGGAAGATACGTATACTTTCGGGACGCTTGTTATGGTTCGATGCTTGGCAAGTCAAGAGATTAAGCTCATTGTTGGTGTCCGCAATCGAATTCAGCTTCTGATTTCTTGCATTCTTCTTATTATCAGCCACCTGCCGATGCCGATAGCATGTTGGCTTACAATGAACAGAGCAATCCTTGACTCTAGCTTGAGCTGATTTTTTCCTTGTAAGTGCCTCAATGTTTTAGGTTAGAGCTTGGTTGCTCGGATGTCCTGAGCTCTCTAGTGTGTACTCGTGTCTCCAAGCGTCAGCCTTCAAGGGCTCTACTACCAACTGAACAGCCGTTGGACGTGGGGCCCTTGCTTGGATGCTACGTGTATCGGAGGTAGGATGATATAGTTGCGGTACCACTGGGTAAGGGGAGTATCGTGTAGACTCGTAGTTGTATTTCATTAGGATGCGAAATTTGCTATAAAAAAAAAATAAAACTAAGGGAGACAAATTTTTATAAATATAGAGTGATAGGGCATGCATTTAGCTCCCCCTTTTTTTTCTCATTTTCTATTTTTGGCTCTCTTTGTTCTATATATATCTCTAGTTCTACTTTTAGAACTATAATACACTTGTTTGAAAGAATGCCATAGTGTGATTTTATTCCATGTAGAAATTACTACTCGAATTAGCCCTCGCCTAGAAATACGTAAATAGGAATCAGTTTTTTTGCTTGGATTTACCGAAGGTCACCTCAATGGGTATCTATATAGAGGTCTTAGTATTATCTGTATTGATATTTACAACCAGTGGTATCTTGTATCTTGTGTATTTGGTCTTACTGTAGCTTGATCTAATATCGACATTCCAGGTTTCTAAATAGACTACAGTAATCTTATCTTTATTATTTATGATAATAAGTGTTATAACCTAGAAAACAGAGATGGAAATGAAACAAAATCAACCCTATTCAGTGCCTGCAAAGAGAATACTAAAGCATGGAGAGGAAAGGAAGAGGATCGAGGTGAGCAATGGAGTAAATATTTTCATATACTACTGTACCATAGCACATAAAACAAGCAATAAGCATTAGAAGCCGACATTACAAACCAAGGCTGTGCCGGTCATTATAATAAGCCGACGATTAGCTATTCGTAGAGAGGGTGCATTCTAATACATATACTGTACCCACTTATCACACTTTACTGATCTAATTTCTGCTCTTGTTTAAAGACAGTAGTACACATCAGATGTGGTCTTGGTGGGGTCTCTCTTCACCTTATTTAGCTGGATTAAAATACGCTCGCTTTGCTGGGCAGTTTAGCTTGCCTGTCTAATACTAAACAGGCCTGGAATTGCGAAGGCGTTATATTTTGTCATAGTATATACATACAGAAGCTGGGGAAGAGTCTAACGCTTAACCAGACACATGTTCACCCCGGAATGAGGGAAATAGGAACCCATGTCGCATGCTATGCTTGTATATTGCTCGCCTTCGCCTTCGCTGCAATCGGCGCATATGATTCGTTCGCTTATTGTAGTCACATAACCCGTCGTAGTATGAGAAACACACTTCTTACTTCTTCCCCTCTTACTTTCTTCCTCGCAGTGCTTCCTCTTTGTGTATATCTAGTCATTAGATAGCAAGACATTTCGCCCCTTTACAACCCATCGGGAGGTACAGCTACGACGGATGTGTCTGCCAAGGATATTCACGCATCTGGCCGAGACTGACCCCCAAGAGCTGGCGGGAGCGGCCTTTTGCATCCTACAGAACCTATTTTTTGTTGAAGGTAGTATGTGCTGATGACTCTAGCTGGGGATTTCCTGAGAACCAGAAATCCATCCATAGTAGTACATGAAGCAGAGCATTGGTACTAAAAGTTATAGTGGATACGAAACATAGGGATATTGGAGTATATGAATGGTATTGCCTGATGGTATAGTGTAATTAGTCATTTGCTTATGTTGCGTTAGACTTGTACATGTGCTGCAAGTCTACAGTATGATTTATATTTAATCATGAGCCTCAGAATTTGGATTGTGTACTCTATGGATATATTAAATCAGCTACCATCCTATATCCTCGTTCCAAAGCTTATCTCAGAATTGTTTTCTTCTGGTGGTTCGAATGCCCTTCCCCTGGTGCTGTACCAGTCCTGTGATAGATACGGGACGTGAGCTAGCGGATTCTCACCATATTGACGAAGCTGGTTGTAGCGGCTGATTTGAATCTGCAAGAATGCATACCTGGAGCACCAAGAGTCGCATCCCAGTGGCGGATGTGTTGCACTGATGATACACCATTTCCTTGTACCATGATGTGGGGCCGGAGCGATTTGAAATAGAAACCTAATCTCTCCTGAATTTTTTGAATAAATATACCAATTTAAAGTAAAATATAAATATCATAGGCGTGACGACCTCGTCACCTTGGGTCATGTGATCTGCTGGTTTTATTGGAAGCATGAAGGAGTCTGAGATTCAGGGGTACGGAGGCACCCACGAACTAGGCTAAATAACGTAATCGGACACCGAAATTGCAACGAAGAGCGGCTTCAATTTACCCCATTTTGGTGGAGTTGTAGAGGTTTGAATTCCTGTCTCAAAATGTCGGTGTAGGCCAAAATCGGGCGTTTGGTGGTCCCGGGCGTCACGTGGTAACTGACGGTACTTCTCCGCCTCGCCCCCACCACCTTCCTTTCCCCACGCCCAAAATTCATGTTAAAATAGCACCAATTTCATCGAGTTGTTCGGCCGTCACATATTTAAGGAAAAAGACAAGTAAAAAAGAAACTAAAGGGCTCACATACAATAGCAAAAGGGTCATACATAACCATCCTGATATCTCTACTATGACTACTAAGGTAAGAGCTAGTCGAGCTTTCATTGGAGCTGCTTTAAATTTCATGTAAGGAATGGCATACCTGACGTCACAATTTTAAAGGTCAACTCTATCGCCTGCTCTTCCATTTTTCTACGTAAATACTGCATCTGTTACATAAAGATGAAATTGGCTTTTATACTCTTAAGTCTACTGGGGTACGCACTAGTGCTGGTCTCAAATTCTAAACAGCAATATAACAAGAAAAAAGATAGGAACATAAGGAAGTGAGAGAATTAATCTGTTTAAGTAAGCGAGCTGATTTCTTAAGTGTAACTCCCCAACAACCTTCTTGAGGCTATGAATTTGGATGATTAGATAGATCATCAGGAAATGCCCTGAGTATTTGGTAAATTCAAAGTTAAAGAAGCGACGTAGCATACACCAGAGATGCTCTCGCGTAGAAGGCACTGAGACCAGAGAAAGCGCAGATGAGGGTCCCTGGCCACTGTGGGCTAGCTCTCGCTGAGATACGCTTCCAGGACTGCATCTCCCCAGAGAGAATTGTATTCTGCTCTTCCACTGTATTCTGCCTCCCGCCTTTACGTCACTCTCCAGATAGCTGACATCACCGTGAGTGTTGGGTCAGCCCACATATCTGCCGCATTGTTCCTCCCGCAATGTGTCGACTATTTGCCGAGCAAGTATGCTGACTTGGAGGGCCCTTCCACTGCTAGCCTTGCATCGGGTGGGCGGGATCAGGCCCCACAAACTTAGGGATGTGGTTGCTGAACGAACCCGTTGTCGCAGCTCACCTCCAATTCCGAATAACAGGTTGCATGTGATGGACAAATCTCACACTGAGGCTCTATCAGACTCTGCATCCATTGAGGCATGCCCGTCGGTCCTAAGAGCTCCTGTGGTTTTCCGACTCCACAGAACCCTATTTGGATCTTCTCTTGGCGCCACCCCCAGCCCAAATGAACAATGCAAAATAGTATCAGTATCCATACTATGTAGTGTAACCGTTTTGGACTGCCTGTTAGTTGTCCACTGGTGGGACTTCCAGGATTGATGCCAAAAGACAGAGATTTTAAAGGGTTTTGATTCACCCGCGTGGTATGGTTTGTATTTGGTGGTTTTTCTGTCCTGTTATCCTGATTTTTAACTGGATTTTTTGTCCCATCATTCTGGTTTGGGAATGATTTTGCTAAAACAGGACCCCAGTCTTCCGTCTTGTCCAAGTATCCTTCCTCCTTGTTCAAGTCCTCCCCCCGGGACAACAGAGTCGGATATGCGACCTGTCTCCCAGATTTAACCCTAGCCGACCTTCGTACCTCTGGGATTCTAGTAGAAGACATAGGGATATGTTGATCTGGATACCGAGCATAGCGGTGATAGTAGTTCTATTATATGTTAATAGCGCTCACTACTGCTACGTACTAGCTAGCACTCAACCCTAAAAATAGGAAATTTTTGCACTGGATAAATATATATACCTATAGAGTTGCCAGTGGAGTGTGATAATTTTAGCTCTACTGTTTAAATTAGGGGCGCCCGGAATGTCGTCTTGTCCACAAGATTTTCTGACTCGGGTGTCTTTGAGCGGACTGCTACAGGATGGATGGATGGATGGATGGATGGATTTCATTTACCCTGACCTCTCGCCAAAGCGATATGCAGGCTACCTCAACTATATATCTCTGTATGTACATGTAGTGTACACGACTTCCTGAAAAACGAACTTAGAGCCTCGTCAGGGCCTGTCGTGGCCTAATTGCCGCTCCCATTGTTACAGTGGGCTGCCCTCGTGGCGAGCAACTTCGGAGCCGTTGTGACACCTCTGCGAAGTTCAAGACGGCCTTGACAGTCTGGGCTCGCGAGACGGTGTCTGGTTTACCTTTCTTACCTTCTTTTGAGCATCCCAGCAGACTCGACGTGCTATTGAATGCGTCTTCAACTTCTCTCCTTAACTCCCTTCGTAATTCCCAATTTTGGGCAGTCTACCAGCACATGGGTGACTGTTTCTTGCGCGCCGCATACGCAGCGATCGTTGTCACGAAATTGATTAGCCTTGGCATAGGTGGACAGCCAACTGTGGCCCGTACGTAGCTGCGTTAGCTGGTATGCGCGGTTCCTTGGTAGATTCCTATATAGCTAGTGTAGGTGGCTGGTAATGTGTTGTCGATTCTTCGTAGATGACCACCCTTGGCGGTAGACGTCCATTCTTGCTCCCAATGAGCAAGGATCTTGCTTCAGATAAGCGCCTTCTTCCTTGTAAGCAGAGGGCGGAAGGGGTGTGTTTTGCCTGGCTGTGCAGCATTTTTGGCCAGCCGATCTGCTGCATCGTTCTCCATATTATCACAGTGCCCCGGTAGCCATTGCAGGCGGAGCATGTTGAAGAAGTGGTATTTGGACCGATTCCTTCCTAGCGGTTTGGCTACAGTACGCACAACGGTGTCAACCTCCGAATCCTCTATCCCAGTTAAGACAAGGGAAGAGTATGGCATCTAGATGAGACGTTGAATATCTATCTAGCTGAATATATCCACTCCTTAGTAGGCTATGTGCGTGTAGCTGGTATAGATTCTCCTGCCCTATTCCTCATTTCCCCTGTGGACCGTATCGAGGTTTTCACAACAGAGCACAATACCCCGGGTTTGAACCTCTGCCGCTGCATGGAGGATCGCGTGGATAATTCGTTGGCCTGATTTATTTCCTGGGTTTTGGATTGCTTGTATGGCGGATTTACTGTCACATAGAATTGTCGCTGTTGTTGTTCCCCTGCCTGTTTTAGGGCGGCTATGGGCGATCTTAAGTACCGAGCTGATAGCGCGAAAATACATATTAACTCCGCTACGTGGACCGACCATCGGTCCATCGGTCCTACCTGGACCTGTTGCGATTCTATGATCTCGAGACTATCGTTGAATGTTAAGACAGCGGCTCCCAGGTAACCCTCACGCCCGGGGGCACCCGAGTAGGCGATCAGGTCTGATGTGGCCCTGACGGTCTCGGCATGTTCTCTTGCTGTCTCCCGGTCCGGTTCGACCTCAATTTCCGTGAAAGATTCGGTTCGCCATGGCGGTAGCGGTGTTGGGTCGATCGTCTCCAGCTCGTTAAGTCTTTCCATGTTCATAGTCTTCAGTGCTTCTGCTAGTGGGAAGCAAGCGTATGACCTAGCATTATTTCTGCGTTTCTGGGCCCGTGATAGCACTTCAAATAGGGTGGTCACGTGGTAGGGTGTGAAGTCTTGCGATAGTACAGTATTCTGGGCTCGTTGGCGCAGACGGAGGTGTGTGGGAAGGATATGTGCTTCCACCTCTAGAGTTGTGGTGGCCACTGTCCTTTCTGATGTATTGTAGACGAATTCTAAAGTGTGACAACAGTAACACCAGAAGAGCCATGTAAACTAGCAATATAGATATCTTCTATTTGCTATGTACTGTATGATTTAGAGAGGTAGAAATCTTTCATCTATCCTGGAGAGGCCAAATGTGAAATGGGTGAGTAGTTAAGATACAGGGGCACCCGAAATTGCGTTCCACCATAAATACAAAGAAACTGTTTCGATCCCCAACGCTAAGAACAACTTAGTACATAATCAACTTGTCTCTTGATAAAGACGACCAATTATATACCATAATATATTAAAACTAGCCTTTTATAGACTAGCGTTCGTCTTAGTATTAGGGATCGAAAACAGTCTCCCCTTGTTTCTTATGGAAGGCAATTTCGGGTGCCCCTGTAGATAGCCTGTACTGTTGATAATGCAGCCAACATCCCTAGACCGTTTTGCATAGAAAGCAAGTCGCCTTCCAACTGTACTGTATTGATTGCTCTCACTATGGCATACTGCATTAGAATTTGTCGGCTGGTATAGTGTCGTAGCATAATGTAAACACGAAAACTCAGCTGAAGAACAAGCGGCATTTCACTAATTAGTGTGAAGTTGAAGATGGACGAGGTCAAAGTATGGACGAATAAACTAGGGCGACCGCCGGGAAGCACTTACCTATGCAGTTCCGACCTGTAGGGATTCGGACTAGGGGGAAATATCACTGACAGAATCACCCGGATAACTGGCTGTTCCTGTCTCAGCATTGAAATGAACAATCAATGTACATATTCTACAGTATCATATTATATTGCACCCCATAGATATCCCCCCTATAGTTTGAATTACTTAATATATGATTTGATTTGTTCTTCTCCCTACTCGTCATACTATACTTATCTATACCGATTCCTATGAGGCAGATAGCAATCTACGACAATATTATTACGAACTAGGTAGGGGTTATGTGCCCCTGACTGCTATTGCCCCATAAATAGACACAAGCAATGGCGGTTGTTCTTTTTTTAAGACGTAGGAGAGATCTCTACTATATATTCAAGTCCCCTGTCCTTTAAAATGCCCAGGTTGATTGAGGTCTAATAGTCACCTTTACGTACTCTTTCAAGATTAAACGGAGGCTTTCCGCCCATGCACTATGTTGTCCACCACAAAAGCCAAGATCTATGACCGCTACAATACGGATCAGCCAGGAAATGATATGAGGCCTTTTACCACCCTCCACCAACTTCCTACTCCCAGGCAACATTTCGAAGTCGTAACACTCTATGACGAGAAGTCTTGTACTGCTGTTGAAGACCCCGTCTATCATTACCGCCTGTTAGAAGACGGGCGCATCATGATATTTGCTTCATGTGATGCAGAGACAAAAGTCAAGATCTTATCACCTATCTCAATCCAATTTCAGCTGCGTACCCTTCTGGACTGGATCTCAATATCCAATGTATTGGATCCTGTGACGGCCTTGTCACCTTCAGTCATGTGACCTGCTTGTTTCCCCGCAACTGATGTTGTTATGATCCATCCCTTCTTCCTCTCCTCTCATGTTTGATATTCTCGTTGAAGAGCTGCCTAGTTAGCGGGAATAGTTTCATTTGTTATATGAAGGTCTCCTGTCCTATATTGGGCTGTGACGGATCCCACTGTACTATGATGACTGGCGGGGCCAACCATATGTCTCATGAAACTTCACACCGTCTCAACTTCCCATGCTATGTGCAAAAGCCCTACTATACTTGTTAAGGATGGGACATTGGCTGGAACTGGGAACGGAAAGTTGAAATTTGTTGTGGAATTCAGGGGAAGTGATGCGCAGGGAGCTATTCTATCAACTACAGGCCAACTAGCCTAATAAGGAAGTAGATGTCATTCAGTGGAAACACCAGGAATCACAGTATCTCAACCGACTGAGTCTCTTGCAATTCCTATCTGGGTGCTCAACTATCTAAAGGATTCAGGGGTTGGACTGATTGTCAGATACTCCGTCTAACACTTCGCAACACGGTAAATAGAGATTGTATGACAGAATGCAACATATAAAGCATTAAAATTAGCCAACAAAATCTTGTCCGATTATTATAAAAATTTAAAGAAACACTCTCCATTCCAAGTTTCATGTACGTACGACATCTTGGTGGGGGGTGGTGGAGGTAGTAATTGTAATGAGATTTTCTTTCTGCCTAAGGCTGTACATATTCAAATACCTTAATTACTCGTTTTCAAAAAAAAAAAAAAAAAAAAAAAAAAGAGGGGGGGGGGCTATATTCCTATATTCTCTCCACCCTCTTTCTTGTACGGTAAGCCAGCTCACTTGGAGATGAACCCATTTTTGTACAAAAGGAGAATTACCTGGTGACGAAGATTGAATAAATCTTTTTCGAGAGATAGATAAAGTAGAAGAAGTCTGTTCAGAGCTTTCTGTTAGAAAAGGAGAGTCTTTCTCCTTTTATTTTTTTATTTTTCTTTCTTTCCTTTTATTTCATCTTAATAGGAATGTCATCATTGTACGGTGCAAGATAGCGTTTAACTACCAAGAAGATTTGGTAGTATCTCTCACCGTTGACCGTACAATATTCAAACCAACTAAGTAGGTCCTCAATTGCTGGATGTCTGGATAGTGTATAGCTAATAGACGTTGGTATGTAAACACGAAAGCTTAGAGGAAAAACATGGTCATTTCATTGATTAGAGTGAAGTAAACGTTCGAAGTATGGACGAACAAAGTAGGGTGACCGCTGAGAACCACTGATGCAGTTCTGATACCCACCGCGGCTGAGCAAATCTGGAACCTCCACCCTCAGTGGGTGAGCTATCTTAGACCCTCCTCCACCCGCTGAGGGTCACCCTCACTCACCCGCCAAGACTAGATATAATTCTTAGCCAAAAGTTTAAATAATCACGCTAAGCTCCCAGTCGCGTCAACCAACGCGTCAAAAAACCTCATCTTTTCAAACACCAACCATGACGCCTAGAAGGCCACTGTTGCGTCCTTTTGGTGCTAATATTAAACGCTATCAGCAACTTGATCCGAAGGAACGAGCATATATACAAGGACTTTACCATGGTGGCAGAAAACCTACTGAAATTGCAAGGCTTCTGAACCGGCCCCTCCAAACTATTTACACTACGCTGAACCGAGCATCTTTAAGACAGGATTTTGAAGCCCAACCACGCTCCGGTCGTCCAAAAACCTATACAAATAGAGACAAGAGCCTAGTCATTCGTTTGATCCAGAAAGATCCGTTCATTACCTACGCGGACGTCCAGAAAACACTTGATTTGACAATCTCACGCAGTACCGCATTATTAAAGAGTCTGGATATGGCAAATGGAGGGCTCAAAAGCGCCCGAGATTAACACCAGAGGTAGCTAAGCTTCGATATAACTGGGCAATGGAGTATAAATCACCGATAAGGATTGGGCTAAGATTATCTGGTCGGACGAGTGATCGGTTGAAATAGGATCCGGCCACCGCCACAAGTATGTGTTTCGGCTTAATCTTTTTGGTAAAAAGTGGAAAACCGAGTACATACAGCCATATAAGAAAGGGAAAGGAGTCCGCGTGATGGCTGGGCAGCTATTTGGGCAAAAAACGCAGTGATCTTGTTCGTTGGAGGGGATTTTGAAGCTAAAAAGAATGCTATACTGCAAACTCTTATCTTGCTCTATTGAGGAATTACTGCCATCTATCTGGGAACCTGGTCTTATTTTCATGCACGACAATGCTCGCATTCATTCAGCGAAAAAGGTTACAACATGTTACAAGATAATGTATAAAAGTAATGGAATGGGCGCCATACTCTCCGATTTAAACCCGATTGAACACATGTGGTTTCCGCTCAAAGAAGGCGTCTTCGACGTGAATCCCAACATTGAATACTGCAAATGAGCAAATGAGAAGAAGGAAGATATCTTATGGGACACTTTAGAACAGTCATGGAGCCAAATCCGCGAGGATATTCAAGATGCTTTAATAAAGAATATGAAAAAGCGTATTGAGGCGGTTTTGGAGGCAAAGGGGTGGTATACCAAATATTAACTCATTTTGGCGCTTTTTTTACATATTTTTTATAAAATTTGTACGTACAGTATTCGGAGATCCATTCCCTATCATGTGAGAATATATTCAAATAATTCAAACATTATAAATCTCATAATTTATCGTCTTGTTGCTTGGAATTCACCCTCAAATGCCGATCTCCAGTATATGTAAAGTCGACTTTGGCCTCTCGTTCCAACCGTTCTATAAGAATAGAGCTCACAACCAGGGACAAGAGTAGCCCATTCGGGATATTGCCCAGAAACATCCTGTCTTCATGGATTTCCAAATATAAGTAGGTGATGAAGGTGAGGAATGTGAGGAAAGTAAGTCCAGTGCACTTCCAGATATTAGGGCCTTCCCTTCCGGAACTCTGCAGGGTGACACTGTTCGGGAAACAAGTGCTATCACTATCCAAGGATTTTCTTCTTTTTAAGTTTTGTTATGTCGATGGCGGCATACACGCCTGGTTGATGGTCTTCCAACAAATGCCTCAGCCCGATGGAAAGGGGGCAGTTTGCTTATCCCCAGAAGTGCGCCTAGAGCGTCTACTAGGGGTTTTTTCCAGGACTACCGACCCATATATGGTCATAGTTGTGGCTAACCCCCTAAGCTAGTCACTAGCGAACTTGACATTAAAAGGATAAATCTATTTAGCAACGGTAGTGCCCCCATGCCCATACTAGGCCAGTTTGTAATAAGGATGTGATTGATCTAGAAAGTGCAATCCATAATAACTCAGAGTGGGAGGACTCTGTTACAGAGAGCGGACAATCCAGCTTTGATGAGAAAGAATTGTTCCAGCGGGTAGAGCCTATGTACAAAGAGCCAGTTTTCACAGATCTCCCTCTTGACAATCATGATACAACAGCTCTCTAGAAAGGGGGATCTGCCTGAACCCAGCATAGCATAGACATACAGCAATGGAATTCAGCGTCATCTAAAGTGCATGATGCTGTCCTCGAGTGGAATAATAATAAAGTGCAATAAAGTCTGCTTTCGGCTTTGTCCTCCACATATTAAGCCGATTTTTATTTTATTCTATTTTTGGCTCTGTAAAGGCAGCGCTGAAGATACCACGGAAATTCCCCTGGTGAATTGCATCATGCATTACGACCTTAGAATATATGTATAGTATCTAAAGAATCAGGAGGCTACAAATCCCCCATTTATTATTTACAGTATCTTGAAATAGTTCTTCTTTATAACTCCTTGGAGGTGGTGTGGATTCGGTTGCAGTTTTTGCGGTTCCTCCGTGCAACTCTACATACTACATACCTGGCTAGGGTTCTAAAGGCGATGGATTCGCCCTCAGAAATAAGAGAAACGGGAAAGAAATGAAATTGGAGATGAGAGATGAGAAAAATAAGAAAAATGAGAGAAATGAGAGAAAATGAGTGAAAATAAGAAAAACGATAAAAATGAGGGAAATAAGAAAAATGAGAGAAAACAAGAAAATTGAGAGAAAATAAGAGAAAATGAGAGAAAATGAGAGAAAATGGGAGAAAATGAGAGAAAATGAGAGAAATAAGAAAAGAAAAATGAGAGAAAATGAGAGAAAATGAGAGAAAATGGGAGAAAATGGGAGAAAATGAGAGAAAATGGGAGAAAATGAGAGAAAATGGGAGAAAATGGGAGAAAATGAGAGAAAATGAGAGAAATAAGAAAAATGAGTGAAATGAGAGAAATAAGGGAAATAAGAGAAATGAGGGAAATAAAAGAAGTACTGTTCCTTATATTCTCTTCCTATGATTTGGTTGTCCTTGCGCTAGTAGAGATAAAACCACTTGCCCATATAAAAAGGTACAAGACTACTGATCTTCGATCAGTCGCATCTAGCGCCCTATAGGTATAGGAGCGAAGGCCATGCCTGAGCAATTGGGTTCAACCCTTTACATCTCTTAGCATCTAATCTCTTTATTTTCCGGCTTGCATTTTAATGCCCTCTCTTTATACACTATTTTTTACCAAACGCTGTTACTACTAAAATTAAAGGTCGGGTAGTGACCCTCAACGGGTGACCCTCCCACCCGCATTTTGAGGGTGGAGGGTCCAAGGTGGCACCCTCATCCACGGAGGGTCACCCGTGCGGATGGACAAATAATAGGACAAACAGTATTGGAAGCATGAAGGAGTCCGGGATTCAGGGGTACCCACGAACTAGGCTAAATAGTTACATAACAGATGCTGACTAAGACAGTGCAGACCGGCATCCGGAGCAGAGGGATATCCCGATGTTCCAACTTCCAACAAACAGCAACAAACACGTGACTTATGCTCATATTTTTAAATGAATCATCACTTTTATACATCTAAAAAAAGGTTAGTTCAGCTAAAAGCTACCAATATTGTACCGTGCAACTGCATGTTCATGTCTTACTGTAATGGTCCTACCTGACCCAGTTTGGTTAGGGACGGGCTTCTGTAGCAGGCTTGGCAAGGATAAACTCCCGCTCGGATCATTCGATGGATAATCCTTATCCGTCCCACGGATAATCCAATTGAATAATCCAGGATAATTGGCAGAAACTCACCGCTTATACTACCCACACTGCCCGCAATAATTATTCAACTTCTACCCCGCTGTCCTATCTTATTTCACAATATTGTTGTACAAAACATGGATTCTGAAGCAGATTCATCTAGTTTCTTACCTTTGCCTACTGATTCAGCAGATACTGAGCCAAAAAAAGGAAGAACACCAACTGCGCAGATGACATGGTCCCACACTCGTCCAGCTAATAACGGAGAGGCTCAATTTCATAAAGATCGGTCAATCCAGTATTGTATTTATTGTACAAAATCACCGTACGGCACCTCTGTTACTACCAATATGCGAAATCATCTTAAAACAAAGCATTAAATCCTTATTGATCCTACTCTAAGCTCTCTACAACAATTAACTGTCAATCAATTACAACTATTATATTCTAAAGCAGATTCCTCGGGCGAAACACAACAATTTGATACCCAGGTCCTTCAAAAAGTGCTAAATCAAGATATTGTTATAAGGATTGGTATCCTTAATTGTTGTACGAAACCTTCCATTCTCTCTTGTTAATGCCTGAGTTCCATACATTTTGCCAAGTGCTTAATCCAGAATCTAAGAGTTATATTATTACGGCACATAACTCTATCCCCAAGAGGATTGAACAGTCATGGCAGACAAAAAGGATATTTACAAAAAGACTTTAGTAGATTATAAGTGTTATCTTTCACTAGATATCTGGACCTCTCCAATGCTCTTTTTCTTGGTATTTGCCCCACTTTGTTAGCAAAGTCAGGAAAACTATTAAAGGCCCTTCTTGCTCTTGTAAGTTGAAATCACAGCGGAGAAGAGCAATTTATTACTCTTCTTCCTGTTTTAAAAGACTAGTATTAACAAAAGCTTGGGCTATTTTTGTGATAATCATACTGCAAATGATAAGCTTTGCCGTACAGTGGCTAAGTATCTAAGGGAAAAAGAAAAAATTTCATGGGATCCTATATATCGGCGAATTTTTTGTATTGGCTATGTTATTAACGTGGCTGTACAAGCATTCCTATTTCAAAATGTGGTCGATATTGAACAACTCAGCTTGTACGACGAAGAAGAAGCGATGGAAGGAGTTGGAAGAGACAGAATTAAAGATACGCAAAGACAAGCCACCTTTCGTGCAATGGGTCCACTTGGAAAGCTTCATAATATTGTGACACATATTCGTGGCTCAGCTGGCCGTACAAAGGAGTTTAAAGATTTAGCAGGGAGACTAATTCCACTTGACAATCGTACAAGATGGAATAGCTGGTATTATATGCTTTATATTGCTCTTCAGTATGAGGGTGCTATTAATACCTATACTAAAAGCATTTTGATACCCTCCAAGCGGAGTATCTATTTCCAATAGACTGGGAAAAGCTTCGTACAATAAGCAAATTCCTAAGTCTCTTTGAGCATGCAACCCTGAAAACACAAGGCAACCAAGCAACAATTGATAATGTGCTTTTTGTAATGGATGTTATTATAAAGCACTTTGAAAATGCCCTTGCAAGTTTACTCTTATATTCCTTATAATAATATAACTTAACTAATACTGTACAACAGATTGAGCCTGCACCAGATAAATAATTCTGTGCTCGGATTCAAAATGGCTGGGATACCTTTGATAAATACTACAGTAAATCAGATGATTCACCTCTCTACGCTGCAGCACTTATTCTTCACCCAGCTCGTCGTACAAAGTATATTCAGGCGAATTGGAAAAAGAGCTGGCAAAACCTGCAATTCAAAAAGTTAAAAAGCTTTGGGAAGAGTATCGCAATAATACCCCTTGTCCTATGGTTATGCGATCATATGAAAGTAATCACCCTCAAGATCTTAATAACTTTGATCGAATTGCAGAAGACCTAGATGGCTTTGCTCGACCAGCAAGCCAGGATGAATTCGAAGATTATATAACTGAGTCACCTTATAAGATTCGTACGAGCGCTCTAACCTGGTGGTGCCAGGTTGAGCAACAAAAGCGCTGGCCAAGGCTTTCATGTATGGTACTTGATATTCTGTCAATTCCGGCAATGAGTGATGAACCGGAGCGGGTTTTTTCAGGGGCACGTCGTACAGTCTCATGGGAAAGAGCACAGCTATCAGCTGACAATATTGAGAGAATAGAATGCTTAAAACATTGGCAAAGGAGTGGGATTTCAGAAGAAAGTCTTGAGGAATAGTAATTTAATTGTTTATATGCTTCAAGGCTTTTTTCTTTGTACATAGTAGTGCCAAGCATTTATTATAATTTATCCGAAATTATCGGATAATCCATCGTAAATTACGATGGATAAGGATTATCCATCCGAGCCGTAATGATTAATCCTTGCCAAGCCTGTTCTGTAGTACTCCATGTTATTGTCGTTGAGGCAGTATTTACGGACATTATTGCAATGATCCAGCTCTATTATGGCATAATGCATGTGTCATATGGCTCCTGAAATATATAGCTCCTACTGTCTAATAATACCTCACAGTAGAAGCATATGTATCCAGCCGCTTCTCCCTTAGGGTATGTATAGAGGATACTTCTATACAATGCTCTTGATCTTCGCAGTTATAATCCTAGCTCTCACTGGATCGTCTGATTCAATATGTTGCAGTGTGCCTGCTAAGCAATCTTCTTCTGCGGCTGCGGGGAGCCGCTTGTCTCTCCCCATCTCAAGCTGGCGGCAGCAAAGTTAAGGCTCTCCCGTCCAGTTCTCCCGGTTTCCCTCAGTCAACCTCCAACGGTGGCGGATACATGGGTCCCTGCTCCAAGAGTTCCCCGTGCAAGGGGAGGCTACTTACTACGATACTGCTACCTCTGCCAGCGCCCCGAGTAGCTGTGGGTGGACCAATGATGGCTCTACTGAGAATGTTGTGGCTCTACCTGCGGGCTTCATGGGGATAACGACTGCGGTCGTACCGTGATCATCCGCTACGGCAGGGTCACGGCGACTGGAAGGGTCGTCGATAAATGCAATGGTTGTGACGGTACTTCCCTTGACATGTCACGTAACCTCTTCGGGGAACTAGCTCCTTTCTCCGAGGGACGTCTCTTCGGTGTGGAGTGGTGGATCGAATAACACTAGATTTTCCTTTCCAGGATACCGAAAAGATAAAAGAAAAAAGAAAACAGGTATTCCTGATACATTGGCGATACAAAAAGTAGGCAAATATAAGCCTCCAAGGCACTCTCAACTAGAGCTTACTCGTAAACCTTTCCACGTTTGTAGATACTGTGCAATACTACAGTATAGGATAAACTAAGCAGATAAAATATTCTGTAAAGGTAATAGCCTCTGATACATTTATGGTAATATATATACTTTTACTTAAATCTTTATCGATAAGTGGTGTCACGGGCTACGCCTGTATGTTGCTCGGCTTCGCCTTCGCTGCAATCGGCACACATGATTGGTCCGCTTATCGCAGTCACATGACCCCTCGTAGTATGAGAACGCACACTTCTTCCCCTTTACTTTCTTCCTCTCAGCGATTCTTCTTTGTGCATATCTAGTTATTAGATAGTAAGGCATTTCACCCCTTTACAAGTGGCTTTGTGATATCATTTTGCGGCAAAACCCTACCCAACACCGGAAGATTGTAGCTAGCCCAAAGGGATATATCTTAACATAACAGACAATACATAAGTTAATTGAAAGAAACCTGCCATCTGTCATCTGCCGTTTGTCATCTGCTGTCTTGCTTTGTCATTTGTACAGTAGAATGCTAGGGGTCTATGTCAGCTTTTCTACCGCTATAGTCCCAACATGCTATGGATCGATAAGGCCCATATTACTATTGCGAAGGTGCAGGCATATGCTACAGTGTTAGAAACAAATAATTGGCCCCGCTAGATGTCTACATTCATCCGGATTCCATTGTGACGGCCGAGCAACTTGATGGAATTGGTGCTCTCTTAACAAGAATTTCAAGCGTGGTGAGGGGACTATGCGGGGAGATAAACAATTTAAACAAAGCTAGATATAAACAATGTAAATAGGCTACTTGGTGAGTTTGTCATATCCATAGTTGTTAGAATTGCATTATCTGAATAGTTTAAATCGCATTCTTGCGCCTACCGGAACTGCTGTTTGACATTGTTATACTTAGAGGCAGGGTAGTTAAGCATATTTTCACTTTGGACCAGGCTACTTATACCACCAAAACCGTTCACTGTATTGCGCACCAAACTGCCGGGACCCTTTCGGTCACCACTTGCTTCCCAGAACATGGCGCCGCCGAGTCTCTCCTGCATGATGTACCGGGCTTTCATGCTGATAATTTCTGGGGTGTCATAACTGAACAAGGAGCCACTCGTGATATTGTACAGGTAACTAGCCACCGGCTGCTGAAGATTGTAGACATTGTTTCCACTGACAGGCAGATCCTTGTAGGGGACGGCGTCGGTCTGGCCACTGTGCGTGAATGCCCTCCCGAGTCCGAGAGTGTTGTTGAATCGACGGGCGTACAAGGGCATTCCGAGAACGAGTTTTTCGGGGCAACCCCTGAGACCTGTAATACTTAATGGCGCTGTCAGTGTCGTACTGGGTGGCATTGGGATCGCAAATGGAGGGGTAGATATTGGCCTGATGCCGAGCAATTTGATCCCATGAGCCTGAATAGTCGTATGCCATGAGGTTCCAGAAGTCAAGGTACGGGTCCATCTCGTGCAATTTCATTTTCGCGTAGCGGGAGGGACCTATGGAAAAGGAGAAAGAAGAAATAAGATTAGCCATAGACCAGATCTGTTGTGCGTTGTCTTACCTGCTGGGGAGGCAACAGTCAGCTCGAAGTGCTTGTTTTGAGCGTGCTTCTTACTGTAAGTGTCCAGAGCCTAGTTACAACTGTTAGAATTGATGCAGATGTTCTGGGCTAGATCACTTAACTTACCGACCGGGTCTCCGCGAGGAGCTGCACCATGTCATCGGGCTGCGTATTCTCCGTCGGATACTGGATTATAGGTCAATAACTGCCGAGCGTCATAGAGAGAATCCTTACCTCCCAATCAATATCGATGCCATCAAACCCTAGATCCTGCACCAGTTTCACCGCGGAGGCGGCAAACTCCTTTCTTCCCTGTCTCGTGCTAGTTGGAGTAGTAAAGTTTCCCGACAGGGAATACCCACCGATAGACAGCATTAGCTTTAGATTCCGGTACTTTTTCTTGACAAGGAATAGCTGCTTCACACAGCCGTAGATATTGTCGCCTGATTCCGATTTTAGGTCACCCGGAAACTTCATCTGGGTGGCGGCCCAAGGATCAAAGAGGTAGACTGTTCCGTTGGGATTAATATCCGCGAAGGCGTAGTTAATGTGTGTGAATAGCCCTGCATCCAGATCTGTAGGGGTGAAATTCCGGTAAACAGTCTTTAGAATATTAGCAATTACTGTTAGGATGGTATGGAATAGACCCTGTATAAACAGCTTACCCAGTCAGCATAGTACCCCACCACACGCTTAGTGGCTGCCATGCGAGCCGTGTGAGTATGTATCTGGGTGCTAGTGTGTGTATGTAATGCAGTCACAGTTAAAAAGAATATATTAACTTGCCATAGTAAGCTTAATACTTGTGAAAAAGTGCGATGCATCAGTGAAGCTAGGGTACTAGTAAAAAAAAAAGGCAAATGAAAATGAACGCATATATATATAAATATGTATATAAACAGAGCATAAGATTTGAGCCTAAAATAGCTGTTCACAATAAACCAGATATATTTGTGGCCAAAACCACCCATCTTCCCTGAATCGAAAGAGCATCAATAGACCTCTATTTCGAAAATAGACCATTGGAGGCGGAAGTGTCCTTATCATGTACAGTATTAGATAAAATAGAGTATATAAGTGAACACAGAGTATAGCCGATGTTAAATAACTCCAGTGCAGTGACTAAGAAATTAGTTATTTAAAAGCAAATGTACCTTATCACAAGTGTGGGGACTCCGGCACTTCTAAAGCAGAGGAATAAACAAACTACATTTAGTTCTACTTGAGGTACGACGTATAAAACAGATACTAAAAGGCGAACTGTCCTATTATTATTTTAAAATACTTCTATATTGCGAACAAAGATCTGTGATATAAAGATGAATTGCAGAGAGATACTTCCAGATCCGTAGCCATAGGCAGGCATGAGTGGCATAGTCGTCATGCGGTTTGCTATATATAGTATGGTTGGTATTTGCTCACGGAGGACAGAAGAGGGTACAACAGTTGGTTGTCGAGGTACCAATTAGCTGCTGATTCGACCGTTTGGGGGAAAGGGACAGATAGCTATACCCCACTGTTGAAAGATACTTATTGATATTGAGAGATCATACAGTAGTAGATTCCGTCAGTTGTAGTTTCTGGTGTATTCTATCTGTCACGTTGAGGGGACTTGGCTTGATTGACAATTTGACAGAGATACCACCACTATCTGCCTTTGTGCAGTAATTCTCAGTAGATAATTTCGCTGGGGCAAGCGAATACATCGGGTCTTTAGTGTCAGCCACAGACCAAAGGAATACATTAACATTGCATTGATTATATATAAAAAGTTCTCCCGTTGGGATGCAATTGGAGGGATGTGCAGGGGCATTTAATAGACTGGCAGCATGGATATCAAGTAGAAGGGGAATATATACAGCACTCTATTCAGCAGTATTATTTAAATGGATGCTGGTGTTGGTATGTCTAGTTAGATTCATACCAAAGAACAAAAATGGATAAAAAATTCGAGACACTATTTGGGCTATGTGTAATATCTCTTACAGGAAATCCAGGGAACCAACTTAAAGGTAGACATGGCCTAATTTCTGCATGCGGTGCTATTTTTATACCAATGCCAAGGTGTGGAGCATATACTATCAATTACAGAGGTGCTTCCATAGGTTGTGTAATGTAGATTTAAGCTGGAATCAACTAAATAGTCGACCGCCATACCCGCATGGTGATTAAAGAGGTAGGTACTGTAACAGGTCAAATGAGTTGCCATAGAGATGGTCTAAAAGGTAGCCTGCCTGTGCAGTCAACTAAAAAGTATGAAAAGCCACTACCCCCGCTACCAGGAGCCCAGGTTCCACTCGTTCCAGCCCCTTTAAATGTAGCCAAACCGCCGTCGGCAGTCGTTTTGTCGCCCATTTACCTATGCAGTCTATAACCGCCAGGACACCCACGGACCCTGGCGGAGATGCGTGGCGGTCCTGGTGCTAATGTGGGCGCCGACACAGGGACAATCCCGAGAGGACCACTTTCGGTGGAACGCATTGGAGGATGTCCTGGCATACGCACCTATTCTAGGCGGAGGTGAATTACTCCAAAAGGCTGCAGAGCACGTTCTGGCTCATGTGCCCGATCTGGAGGCTCTCGGGAGTCGGAGCTCAGTGCTCGAGGGTGTCTTCGGCCGGAGCGGGCTACCCTTTTTCCGGAGTGCTCTGCTGCGTGTATCACCAGCCTTTTGGGAGCTTCGCGAAACGGGATTCCAGCGGGAGCAGCACGACAGGGTGCGCAACGCACCCTATCTCAGCAGGCTTAAAGACGAAATGTCCGTCGTAGAACAGCTCCGGAATCATCTCCTACATGCCGACCCGGCCTTGACGGGGCCGATGTGGATACAGCTGTTGCTCGAATTTTGGACCTTTTCTCTTATTTTCGCTGTGGGAATGTCCAGCAACGAAGTACAGCTCTGGCTGGCGGGTAAATCCAAGGCGCTTCCAAACACTCGTCCAGAAGTCCTCCTAGACCAACACTTCGGCGTGGGCAATGCAGGCGGTTTGCACCTGCATGAGCTGGAACTGCTGCTCCGGGTTATGAGTGATCTAGAGCTAGAGATCTGGAAACTTCTGGGCACATATTCATTGGATAGTGCCTTTTCTGGAATAGATGGTAGGTTGTTGTATATTGCTCCCTTCCGGCCATCGATTCCTCCAACTAACCCATAGGCTACAGACAAATGGGTTACATCCATCCTCTCCTTCGGAATACCGACTATACAAGATATGTTGACATCAAGCAACCCGTGGAATAAGGCTCCTCGGCGGCACCATACCATTCAGGAACCACTGTGGCCTGGTGTTCTGCGGGGGCCTGCCGGAATCGTATAAAGCTGCTCCTGTAGCGTGGCTTACTAGGCGTAACAAGCCTAGTTAGGTAGTTGGACACCGAGCGGCGCAAGACACCGGGCGGCGCGCCGCTCACCGCTCCGGCTCTCCCTCACCTCCATCTTACTTTAGATAATATTCATACCATTTATCTCCATACAAATGAAATATATTATAAAAAATACGCAGTAGAACTATCTGGTAGGACATTTTAATCGATTATGGCCCTGAATACTGCAATTACTGCATGTGAGAGGCCTTCGCTGCCTAGGTGCCTGGGCCTCGGCCTGAATCTTTGCCTCCTTCTTGTGATGGTTTGGTTGTCTCTGCGCTAGTAGAGATAAAACCACTTGACCATATAAAAGGTACAAGACGACTGATCTTCGATCAGTCGCATCTAGCGCCCTATATAGTATGTTACAGGTTCAGCCTGTGACACTTCTCGCTGATTATTTGATGTGCTGTATCAGCAGTTAGACTGCCTCCATCTTGAATAAACTGTCTAGGCTCTTCCTTTTTTTTTGGTCTTGGTACTCATCACCTGCCTGACGTCGATGAAGTTCATCCTTTAACAAAGACATTTGCTGCATAGCAATCTCATTGCCTTTCATAGCTTTCTCAAGCAAAGTATCAGCAATCGATGGAAAAAAGCCTTGGTTTTGAATCTCAAGAAGTTGCTCTTTTGTCGATTTAATTGGTAGAGATTATAAGGTGTTTTTCTCAAGTAAAATGACTGGTTACTGACTGAAGAAGGAGGTGGAGTTGGTGTTTTCAACTTGATTTTTAATTTTGATATCACTGTTGAAGAATCAAGAGGAATAAGGCCAGTAGCCTTAAATCCACTTAATATATTTGCCGATGACATTGCTTTTGAGTGAACTGATGAATAGATAGATAAAAAATCTACCTTATCAATTGTTTTATACCACTGTTCATCATTTCTTGCACTTTTTGACCATAAAAGCGCTTTTAAAGGTGCAAAGCAGCTAACATCGAGTGGTTGAAGAAGGTGAGATGAATGAGGAGGCATATAAAAAGTGGAATACATAATTAAATTTTCCATGTAGTATCGATCAAATTCAGCAGTTGCATGGCTCCCGTGGCGATCCAAAATAAGTAATCGATATTGACCAACAGTGCTGTCAGGACCTAGGTCGAACACTGCCTGAAGCACCAAGTCTGCTTTATTCACTGTTGATCCCACAATGCAGAGATTTCCCACATTTCCTGTACGATAGAATTCTTTCTTCCTTCCTTCCTTCTCTACGTTTGATGTTTCGTTAGATCGCCACCTTAGATAGAATCTATCCATTTTACCAAGGTGTACAGGATCATCACAAGTGCGGGGTTTTGTATGCTTGTCAAAACTTCTTGTAGCCATTCAAGTCCTAGATTATTATTAGTCTAGCCATTCTCACTAAGACTTAGTCGATAATCTTTAGGTAGAACAGAATACCACTGAGATTTATGTTTTTTTCCAGCAAAGATAATCTGGGGGTAAAACCCAACCACTTGCTCCAACAGCTACAATTGATGTAACCCATTCTCTATTGCCTGGTTGGATTGATTTAGCATCAGATCTGCGTGTTTCTGCGCCGCAGACAACTTTAGCTGTTGATGTTACACCCATTTGGAAGCCAGTTTCGTCCATGTTGTAGATATCTTGTTCTAAAGTGCCATATTTTTGTATGGTATTTTGAACCAATTGAAACCAGCCTTGAATAACCTGTGGATCTTCACACTTCGCCCGCTGGTAGTCATATCGACGATTATATCTTGACTTAATATCATCATTGCGGGAAATAAATCGAGTAACCCATTTACTACTGACTAGATCAGAGATAGAGGCCGGGGATAACGACGAAGTCTTTTGACGTGCAGATATTAAAAGACCAGCAAGATATTGAATTTCGGAGATCCGTTGAGGCAGACCACGGTTAGCCATATCAATAATCCATCTTTTTAATGTATCCTCTTCAATATTGGACAATTTCCGGCTATTAGCAATAATATTATTGCGGTTGCTTCGTCCTTTAAGTCGATAAAGAAGAGTTCGTGAAGAGACATCAAATGCCTTGGAACAGGCAGTTTTGGATGAAAATTGGTTATTATTCCATGCATCAACAGCCATTTTCATTCTCTCATCCATTGGAATGGCACTCATTTTGGTAATATTAATGAAATATTAATGATAATCAAGATAAAAAAGGCTTCAAATACTGAGATGTTTGAATATTTTAGGAAGAGCGGTGAGCGGCGCGCCGCTCGGTGTCCAACTACTTTACTCCCAAGCCGCCAAAGTGTTTTGATATTCCTATGTTCCCTTACAAGCAAATAGAAATGTGTTATTGTTATATTATTATTATGTTTCCACTCATCTACTATAGCAAAGACATGCCAGTGGAATGAGCACTGACAAAGTCACAAATTAAAACTAAATCTTTAGTATTATTTGTTTTTCTCAAAGGCTGAGTGCTAGGAGGGCGCTTAGTAAGAAACCTAGCAACAATTCAGTTGGCAGGAGAGTTGTTGTAGTACCCCCGTAGTTTAGATTTGGGGTCGTGGTAGGTACGGTGGGTGCCCGAGATACGCTAGTCCTTTCAATAGAGGTGTTTCCGGAGGATGGAATCGTTAATCGTGATGTTGTGTGCGATAGAGTCTGATTGTCTTGTAGAGTTGTGGTGGCTCCGTGAAACGGGGTTCCGGCTGTTGAAGATATTGGGCTTTTTGACTTATTAATATTAATGTCAGCCATTGAGAGTGATGTACTGTAACGCTAACCACTGGCTCTGTGGTGGTTGCTCCTACTGCTGTCGATGGAGTGGCGAGGGAGAGACTGTCCGGGAGTGTGTCGCAGTAGAGTAAGAACTGCTGGAATTCTGGGAGGTGTGACGGCGTGTTGGGTATTATTAGCCACTGCTTGGCAGACCTTACAGTTGCAAAAGTCGCTGGAACGGTGATCCCGTTGCACAGCTGGGTGTTTTCCCCTCTGACTCAGCTTCTAACATGGCATCATTACACTCGTCAAAACACTGACCCGGCACCGTACTGGCCTTTCCCGGGTGATCTGGTGGCCGAAAGGAAAGCGGAAAATCCCATACGTTAAGCCGAATGCAAAGGGATTAAGATTAAAATATCCGGCGAGACGTCAAATGTCCGATCTATCTGATGTCACTGGGGGCCCCAATATTGCGTATAGAAGCGGCGGCCGGGGATGCATTCTTCGGGGCGGCATACATATATATCGGCGGGAGGCCCCGCTTCGAAGTTGCAGTCCCCATCGAGCGCTGACTTCTGTGGATGGCAGAGATAACCTGGAGGGCACCCCCAGGTGTAGTCTGTAGGCAGAGGCGTTGGTGGGGTATAGGTAGGATTCGTAATACGGGTAGGGCAAATTGATAATTCTGCGATGGTTTCTCTATACATGGCTCATTAGCCCTGTCTAACATAGTTATTCTCAAATCCAGAGGGATCAATACCGGTGGTGGCTGTGGCCGGCAAGCCCAACGAGGGCAACACAGTCGATGTAACTTCTAGTGTAGTCTCCCAAACAAGGCCTGCATCTGTGTTACCCGATGTCGTATCTGGTGCAGTAGGGGTATTTTTAGGCAAGGGCTCATCTGTAAAACGGCCGTCCCCTGTCCTGATATTGTTCTCATTATTGGAACAGTGACTGTTATTGTCAGTGGGATAGTAGTAGTGATGGTAACTGTCTCCTGTCTTGATATTGTTTTGGTTACTGGGATAGAGATTGTCGTACCGTCAGCTGGAATAGTTGTGGTGATAGAGTCAGTTACTGTGTTGGTAGCCGTTTTCGAAAGTGTCTCTGTAACAGGCGCTGTAAGCGTCATGGCCTTCGTAAGAGAGACAGTACTCAAGTAGGTCGCAGTCTCCGTGGTTGTCGTGTTAACTGTTCTAGTCTCCCACTCTGTCGATGTGATAGTAGAACCAACCACTGAGGTGGAGAGCCGTGTGGAAGTTTCCGTCGAATTCCTCCAGACAGTGGACGTAGCCGGAGCTACTGGAGTCGTAGACGTTGTGATGGTTGGGTTCTCAGAACCAGTAGATTCGGCAGTCGTAGTGCTTGGGAGTGTGGAAGGTGACACGGTAGCTGTGCTTAGCCAGGTCGTGCTTTCAGTGCAACCGCAGTCAGTTGTGTCTGTAGATGTGGAGGAGATGGTAATGGTCGTAATTGATCGCCTTTGTACAAGGGTCAAATCTGGATGGAATGAGAGACTTGTGGTATTCAAGCTGCTTCCAACCTTGAAGGTGACAGGAGAATATTTACTCATCAACGATGGATTTTCGTTGAGGGCAGCATGTGTTAGACCTCCGAACATTAGAGGCAGAAGACGAGCTAACAGGAAAAAGTAAGCAAAGTAGCGTGTTCTCATCATAGCGGGGGGGAAATAACATATAAGATTATACTGTTAGTACCATAGGACTGAAATATATCACTAAAAATAAGCTGCCACGTACCTTGATATTTATGTGTAAACACAATATCACGATGACGGAGCAAACTGGCAGGTTTTCTGGATAACAAGAAGGAATGACGTTGGTTCATGTACAGTTTCAAACAAATATATTGGTCATGTGTTTGTCTCTATCCTTCACCTAACCAACACATTTAATTAGATAGTACTGTGTGACATAAGAACCAGGACATAATACATGTGTCAGATTGGCGGGCAGACCTATACTGTCAAGTGAAAATAATTCGTCTTTTAAAGTGTCGCTTGCCCTATTACTTAAACGCATAACCAGCCTTTATTCGCTGTGATCTTTTCAATTTTTGTTTGGTCCTAACATTCACTTGTATCCCATTAACGTTCCACTATGGCCCACTGTCCTGACTCAAGTTCCCTTCATTTATCAATCCTTTTCGATCGACCACTTCTTGAAAAGTTTCAGGAAAGGCTGGAAGTACATTTCGAACGAAATCCAGCTGAAACATGTGCGGTTTTGAATTTATACTACAGCTCTCACACAATGGAGCCTGACTTCCACATCGAGTCTCTGGCAAATGAGATTGAAAGGCTCGAGAATCTAAATAAGACGTATATGAAGGAGCAGAGAACTTTGATAAGGGAGAATCGGCTCCTTCGTAATGCTTTGGAATGGCAGAGGCAGAGAAAGCGATCTAGCTATGTTAGTCCACATATTGATTGACCATTTTGGTCAGGTGCTGACGCAACTTCAGGGACAAATTTTGCGGTCCTAACATCTCCCTTGGTGATACAATGGGCTGCAACCTCGAATCTCAAGAGGAGTGATGATCGAATGAACGACAAGGCCAGTCTTATCTTAGAAAGTTTCCATGCCATAAAAGAAGTAAGAGGTGCCAGTGTTCAAGAGGCGGCCTGCACTGGCTATTCCGAAGCTCATGAAACGGAAACTCATAGTGTAACCCCCGATATGTAGAACATGGCAAACTTCTTTCTGGATACCATAGTTGAACCGAACTATTGATTACTTTAAACATCGCACTAGAATAAGGAAATGTATTGACAATGGGGGATGGCTGCTACCTATTTCTACAATACTATCTTTACTAGGGTTGGGGCAATCTTCTATTATCTCTGTAAGTATAATAGTATCTTCACGATGGTAGGTTAAGTATATTAAGATACTCTACCGAATTATGCCCCAACTGGCCATACTATCATTGGCCAATACGGCCGACAGACGACCTTCCACGTTAGGGAACGTGAATATATGATTGGCAATGATATCCATCCTGAGACATCTACAGGGCATATTCCACCAAGGAATGTTCTACCTGTGGGCCAAGGTACTGCTAGTTCACGGCTTACTCCGGTTTGGAGATCCTACTTTGGTATGGGTCGCGTAAGGTGAAGACAGGAGCGCCACTAGATTTCGATAAGGTAACATAAATTTTAGCCTCTGCAATTGTTGCACGGTCAGTATGCTGTACTTGGTCGTAGAGATTGTTGGCTTTGGAAGGAAAAGTGAAGAACCAGTCAGAGTGGGCGATGGCTGGTCCCTGACGCACGATGACTTGCTAGCTCTGTAGACCGGAACGCTTTGCTTTAGCTTTCTTCCTTTCTTCCCTACGCAGGGATTTTTTACATAGCACGTCTTATAGTTCAGTAGGATTACGTTTCCTGACACTCGAAAGCGAGGAGACAAAGTCTTCTTGTCCATCATCATCTGAAAATCCCATCTGAAGACTGACAACCTTTTGCCTGTGCCAATTGCATCCAGCAATTGCATATCCACTACTAACTGTCAGATAAAACAGACAAACCATTATTATATGCAAACTGGAACAGCGCTACTTTTTGAGGTATAGTGGCTAAGCGGTATATCTGACCTATTTTTTGGCCTACTCCGCAGAGATAGACCCGAGATGAAAGAAATGCGGCAATTTCGCTATTGGTTGGCAGAAATGGCAAGAGTCCAGAAATGATGGATCCTAGTTTGATAGCGGATGGCCCCGGACGGGAATGGGGGACCCAAGTTGAGTTGGCACTAAGGGTTGGAGATGCATGTCGTCTTCAATACTAGCTGGATGGGCAAGAGGCTTTTTTTTCCCAGGAGGGGGGGGGAGCGGGGGTGGCCATACTTAGCAAGGACTATAGGTGTGGTACTGTATGGCGCGGGTTCGAACCCTGGAGCTGGCACAAATTTTCACCAGCTCGTCTATGCGTAATTGGTCTTAGATTTGGCTATACCCGTCGCAGGCTACGCCTGTATAAGAACTATTTAAAGAACTAAGCTGGTTGATATAAGTCCTCCAACAAAGTATCTCTACCACCCTCTGTATCCTTGCGGTGCTCAACACTTAAGGGTATTTCATCAATAAATGCCTTGAAGACAGGCGAGCAGAGGAAGGTATTTCTCTGGATCTAGCAGATCGTCGTACTGTTAATGGTTCACTGGCATGGCTGGGCCGATAAGGTGTCTGCGGTTGATTCGACGAGTTCTCCGGTTCGATCGAAGAGGCTCTCGAAGAAGCCCTTGAAGAAGCTCGAGATGATCTTGACGCACCAAAACGACGTAAAAGACGTAAGGGATTCTGCTCAATGGGTGACTAGCCACTTAACTAGCTCCTGAACTCCTGATCTTCAACAAGGTGGTTTGTTAAGCGCAGAAACAACCGAACCGCTCGATTAACAGTGGATCGATTGATATTCCAATCTAATGGGTAATCCCGAGTTCGTTTGGAAGCGGGGGGGTGCTGAATGTTCCCGAATATACTGAGCTCGATAAACGGTCTCGGTGTCTAGCTCGTTGGCGTAGGACCCCGTACATCGCACGTTGTAGAACGCAACTATCTGATACCCAAGTTCGGCTCTCTGAAGGTCCTGGCGCGAGCTCATGGAGGTGAATCCTCAGCCTAAGGAAGCCTCAGGCAATAAATCGTTGAACCTCACTCCGGCTCAGGACCGGGAAGCCGTTTGCCGAAAGGGAAGGAGCGGAGTGAGGAGCTTCCAGGGTGGTATTTGAATGTTACACAAGGCCGTAATGGTGGTTACCCAATCCGGTAGGTGACCGCCCAACGCGAGAAGTAAGAAAAGTGGATGTGAAATGCTTTAACAGAGTCCCTGGAGAAGCGATGAGATGGAGATGACCAAGATAGCTAGCCACGGCTTTTCAAGGTCTAAAAACAAAGGAGATGGATAAACGACTAGCTAGAGGTCCCAAGGTCGCTCGTAGACAGACAATAAAGTGTAGACAAAACGACAAAGTGAGAGACAGTATAGCGCAGTAAACAGACAAACTAAACAAGTAGAAAGACACTCGAGAAGCAACAGGAAAACAAGCAAGTAGACAGACCGGAGGATCAACCGTGGCGGGACATACTACCATATGTAAACACGAAAGCTCAGAGGAAGAACAAGGTCATTTCATTGATTAGTAGTATGAAGTTAAAGATTTTGTCAATCATAAAATTACACGTATTCGCAAGTATCGATCCTTCATTGAATTAGGTCTCTGATTCAACTAAACTACCAAAACATCTCGCATTTATAAAGGCGAGGTAAACAAATGAAGAATGCAAACTAACTAATGTAGGAAATATACGCGATCCGATGATGTTGGATCATCAACAACATTTGACTGAGAAAGGTGCTGAATAATCAATATTACCATAATTGTCGACAGATTGGTGGACGAGGTCAAACACTCGAAGTATGGACGAATGGACTAGGGCGAGCGCCGAGAACCACTTATGCAGTTCCGACCTGTATGAGTGTGCAACAGGTCGTTGAAGAAAACCCTCATGTATCTTCAGCATATAAAGTATATAAAAAAACATACAGCATTGCCTTTTATATACTTATTTACAAACTGCTAATGGCACCCTTCTCTCTTTGCTGCCCTCGTACCACTTTCTCTGAATAGCACTTCAGAAGTTCAGAATCTCTGTGGCAATCTCCATGCCCTCGGTGAAGGAGAAAACTCTTCCCTTGGTACATTGAGCCCAGGACTCTGGGTCGCGATATTGCTCCCATGCAAGTTCTAGATGCTCTTTTGACACCCCGAGACGCTGATATAACTTTTGTAATTTATTTATCATATTGTCCTCCAGATATTCCAATGGGTAGGAATTATCGGGGTGTTCAGCAGGATGGCTAAAAACTTGGGGTACATTAAGGAACCCAAGCTCGAGAAGATAGTGACTTCGGTTTCTCGGCCATACCTCTGATCCCCAATGATGTAATAGAAGAAGCTCTACAACATTCGGGGGTCGGATGTATGAAAGGAGATTCATAATAAAATATTCCCACTCAGGTTCCCTATAAACATCTTCCATCTCATTTGGCACCCAGGGCAGGTGCTTTTGAGGGTCGTAGAATAGCTTTCGAACCAAAAAACCCCAAACAAAGTCGGTGACTTCGATAAGGTCAATTGAGTCGAGAACATCCAATTGAGGGTTGTCACGCCATAAACGCTCAATCATATCAAACCGGTCCAGCATTGATTTGGGGGTTGTATATGGGAATCGGCGAGCAAGGTTTAAGTGTTCGACTGACACCCAATGGCACATCAATGCTTTGTAGAAACGTTGTCTTTGCGAGGATTTAGAAAACACATACTCCGACAATTTCTCAAGCATCGGCAATGGGCCTCCTCCCCGAAATTGAGTAATTTCCTCCTCAGTATAATCAACCCCACGCAGGGCCATGGATGCATGTTGATATAATGCTTGAATTTTTGGGTGTAGGTAGATATTCTCAAGCACCCGAAAACCTTGCCAGAAGGAGGCGATCTGCCATATAAATTCAGTTGGTGCGTCCTCAATCAAATAAGATCTTCCTGTGCGCTCTGACCTTATCAACTTTTTGCTATTATCAAGGCACCATTTATTCTGAAGTAAATAGCAGAGTTCTATATCAAATTTATGGTGCTCAGAAGATACCTGTGGTCGAGTTTAGATGCTTGAGTAAATAGATAGAGGGACGGGGTTGCATACAATAACAGTCCTAAAAATTTGCAGCCTGTGCGCATCTAGCAAATTGTACACTGCTTGCATGTCTGTGCGAGATGTATGGTATCATCAAGGTCACTAAGTTTTTCAAACACCGTAAGTTGAATCTCCGACGGCAGATTTATTAAGGAGCACGTCTGGATGAAGAATGTAGATTTCTAGCGAAGCGGGGCATCGAATAACTATCGAAATAAGAGGGGAAAGAAAGCGGAGACAGGCACTATCACGTATCCTACTGTTATTGGGGTCGATTAATGGTGGTCTAACTAGGGAGACAACTAAGAAGACCAGGAGATATTGGCAAATGGCAACTTCTAGTTTTTGGTGGCCATAGGTCTTATATTACTATTAAATGACAAGGGCTGAAATCGTAGAACCTATATGATAGGCTATATACAAAAAGGGATCGTTAGAGAACGAAGGAAAGGAAGAGAAAAGGAAAGGAAGAGAAATGGACAGGTAAGCAAATAAAAATGTTAATTAGGGACCTACCGTATTCCGTAAGTTATGGTCACTGTTTGTTTGCATTGTTTGTACTTATTTACTTCTCCGCATCGCCCCACACCACCTTCCTTTCCCCATGATTCCTGCAAGGTGACCTGATTCCTGTAAGTATGTCAATCACTTCATCATATCGAAAGCGGTTTGGTTTGTGGGCCTGCAGCAGAGCAGCCCTAGCAATCTGGCGGTTAGGCGACCCTTCCACTAAACTCCTGATCACGGGCGAATGGAATCCTACTTGACGAGCGAGTTCAGCCATATCATAGATAGCACGCTCGTCAGCCTTAGCTCGGTTTGGCTTCGCCAAAAGATTGTCGTCACTCTTCCGATCTGGCGCCATCAGTCTTTAATTACGCAGCTGCTAAAATGGACGAATACAATATAGCCTAATACGACACCTCGCTTTAAGGTATGCGGTATCTCCTGTATGGTGTCTCCTAGTACTCGAAAGGATGTTGTAAAGGTTACTTTTCAGAGCAAAGGCCGGCCCGAAATGCTCTTCTTCGGTCGACGGGGCCTCACTTAGTCACCCATCTAGACCTGAGTCAGCTCCACCCCAGACAACAAAATAATCAATCAAGAATAACCTGTCACAGGCTGAACCTGTAACATACTATATAGGGCGCTAGATGCGACTGATCTTCGATCAGTCGTCTTGTACCTTTTTATATGGTCGGGTGGTTTTATCTCTACTAGCGCAGAGACAACCAAACCATCACATAACCAAGAAGAATAATCAAGAAGAGCCTGTTGTGAACTCAGGGGAAATGGGGCGTAGGGAGCTATTCTATCAACTACAGGCCAACTAGCCTAATTAGGAAGTAGATGTCATTCAGTGGAAACACCAGGAATCACAGTATTTCAACCAACTGAGTCTCTTGCATTCCTGTCTAGGTGCTCAACTATCTAAAGAATTCAGGGGTTGAATCGATCGTCAGATACTCCGCACCGCCAAGTCGGGCGGATTATAGTGTTTCCGTAACAGAGCCCAACCAGCTCAATTCATTCAAATAAGACCTTTTACCAATCGTACTCTATTTCCTCTTCGGGACTAGCCGTATATCCAACAAGTTGTCAGAATAAAGCTAGTCCATATTGGGACATCATGTGAATATATATACCCAATACTCCTCATAGAGGGGTTGGGCAGAACATCCTTCTGAATACAATCAATTCAGACCAGCTCCAGTAAATCAAACACTACGTAACCTGCGCTTCGAGGCTGTTGAAGCCCGCGGTTTTGTGAATCTGCGCTGTACATCCGCACCACTCTGCCCAGACTCATGGCATCCAATGGAACCCGCAGAGCACGACATGAAATATTGGTTCCTCGTAGATTTGTTTCCCAGCATTTACACTGCTATATTTAACGCCACCGAGGCTGAGGCTCCGATGCGCTTGGGGAATCTCTGCTGTGCACAATTTGTGGTCTGCCGCGGAGTGATTATCTGCGAATCCGTAACTGGGTAACCACGACGGAAATCACCGACAACTTTGGAATTGGATTTTTTTTCCTGGAGAAAATCTGGCATATTACCTTTGGCTTAGAACCTGTGTAGTATGTCGCTATCCCCATTTTCATTGAGTCCTTCGCTGCTTACAAGCAAGCAAGTTAACTATTCTGCCCTCCAGCTGTCCAGAATTCAAGCAATGCCGCTGTGATACATACGGGTGGTGTGGGTCATTGCCACTAGTGGATTCCCTGAATTGGAAAGAAAACCACCCAGGTAGAGTATTTTTCGGATACCCTTCAATTTCCCACTGCTTAATGCCAATGTACAATACGATTTATATAACGTTTTAGACTATTAATTTTAGAGCTTATTGACCTCTTCATGATTACGTTGATTCCTATGATGATTGTGTTGCTTAACCCTCTTTAGTCACACGATCCTGGCCACGTACGGCCATATATCTGACAGATCTCAGCGAAAACACCACATGATATTCGCAACCATCACAATGATGTTACCAAAAATAGGAGACTTTATTTTATTATCAGAATATGATATTGTGCGCCAGTCACGCAACCACTAGTGAACCACGTCGTACTAAATTGATAAAGAGTGATTGTTACCAGGAATCGACCTGAGTATGCCGTGGGTTTCCGAATCACAATCTCTAACGAGGCTAGCACTAATTTTAATGAATAATCTGGTGGTCAGCGAGCATAAGTACCACTGGATCGAAGTGAGTAAAGGGGAAAAATGCCTTGCTATCTAGTGACTAGATATATACTGTACACAAAGAGGAATCGCTGGGAGGAAGAAAGTAAAAGGGATGAGGGAAGAAGCGTGCGTTCTCATGCTACGAGGGGTCATGTGACTGTAATAAGCGGACCAATCATATGCCAATTTGTAGAGAAGGCGAAGTAGCCTGAGACAAAGTGTGAACTTGTACGACCCGCATTTGCTTTAATATTTTTCTAATCCTTTCTAGGCCAATTCAACCTTTCTCATCATCACAAGCCTTTCCGCAATTATAAGCTAATATTCAATCCCCGAAAAAAAAAAAAGGAAAGTTATAAATAATATTGCATAGGTATGGAAAGAAATCAAATCAAATCCTGGTCCATATCCACCCGTATCTAACATCAGCTTGACATAAGCCTTGAGCACTGATCCTTTCGAATAAATGATGTAAGATAGCAGTTACTGTATGCCTTGTAGTCAGACCTTACAATTTACGCGCTAGGCAAGGTTTGGGCACACCTATATAAGTTTACCAGCAGAGCTCATCCGACTATGCCCACTAATGTGAGCCGAAGTGTGAGAGTATAGATTCTATTGGATCTACCACCTAATTCTCTTAGCACTCCATCAATACAAACATGGTTATTGATAGCACTAATCAAGCATATTCCGCGTGCTCCTCTAGAATCACTATATTAAAACACCCTGGAAAGCACAGAAATACTCTACAGAAGCAAGGTTGTCAACTGTTCTGGCAGGCCACCAGATATGTGCCCCCAATTCTCCTCATTGCAAGGTACTCCTCACAGACATTCTGAATTTGTATCGCGGCTCAAAGTCCATTTCCAGCTTCCTGCTTTTTCCACCTGTATTGGCTGACTGGTCTGCTCGCCGGAGTTTTGAGAGTCTCGCATGGATCACGGGAGCATTTGGGATGAGCACCTTGGCAGGAATATGGTCCGCCCTGCCATTATGCAATCCAAGATGGCGGCAGCAGCATACTGCGTCCTCTATTGGGTGGGTTATATTTCCTTGATAGCTTCATTCACTGGCATCTAAACCCATCTGTTGGCTGATCCCCTATCTATACCGGTAGCATGTGTGTGGCGGCGAGCTTCACCGGGTTTGTCAATCTTATGATCCATGTCGGACATGGGCTCGAGCTGAAAACACCTCCCGCTATTATGGCCCTTGTTTTCTCCATTCTATGTCTTATGGCCTTTACTTTACTGTTGGTTAGTCGGCATTTTTGTCACCACTGCCGAAAACGCCATCCCCCCCACCGTGATGCCGGACTCTCTGTTCCGGATGGCTACATTGAAACTGAAGGGCGTTGGAAAGACATGATGGTGCGGGACGGGCCTGCCATTCAGTGGACAGGAATTAACCCTGCGGATATAGATCGTATTTTAATGCAGTAGATGAGGGGAGCAAATAGGTTACCGGGCGAGACAACTGTGAGTGGGCGAAGAGTGCATCTCCTTGACTAGCTAAAGACTTTCTCAGACCTGGTCGTTCCTCTTGTCTATCATTAGAGTCTGTCATGATCCTGTACTGTACACCTTGGTAAAATAGATAGAATATATCTAAGGTGGCGATCTAACGAAACATCAAACGTAGACAAGGAAAGAAGAAAGAATTCTATCGTATAGTACAGGAAATGTAGGAAAATCTATGTTGTGTGACCAACAGTAAATAACGAGTTAACGACTTGGCACCTCAGGGCTCAGGCAGGTTCGGCCCAGATCCTGACATTTGTCTATCATAATCCACGTAGAAACTTGGGCTAAGCATTTACTATATGTAGACGAGTGAAGTCGAAAACATTTTAAAAAAAAAAAAAAAGGTAACCCCATGGTGTAAGTTAAAAAATGTCACTTACTGCATCCAGGCTTGTCATCGATAATCAGCAAAATATTCACTGCCTATTTACCGCCCCTTGATAATTGTTTGATTTATTGGGGGGGTCTGAAGTGATTGTATTCCCCAGGATCTTCTGCCCAA